CAGGATATCTTGCTTTCCATGCTAAACCCCTGTTGTAGAATTATTAGGCCTCTATAAATTTGTAAGGCCCCTTTAAATCCTCTTGCTATACCTCTAAGAGGCCCCCATAGTTTTACAAGGAAGCTTTGTCTATAGAACATAGAATTTGCATGTCAGCAAGAAATAGCTTTGATAAAATATGTATTTACTAAAATCCTTGAAACTTAACCTTGAGAAACTAACAAGTGCCAGCTACGCTCCAAATGGATAGCTGCCAAAAGGCCCCTCCCGTCGAGTGAGCTCCTCATTTTAGCAAGATGGCGCTAAAACCTGTAGGAGTTAAGAAATTACGTAGATAGTGACCTAAGAATGGGGAGGGCATTTTACTAACATCTTAGCACCTAAGCCAATTAACAATGTCTATTTGTCTATATCTTGATTTTCTTCAATGATGTAATAATGCCTTTATAAGGGTCTGCGCACCCATTTTTCTGTCAGAAGCCATTAAACTTCTCTGAAGTTCTTTCATTACCCTGAACCTTGTGTCTCAGTGTGAATTTACTTCTGCGTGCACGCAACTTTATTATCTTTAATTTGGACAGGAACAGATAGTCATTCAAACTAATTGGTTTGCAGTAAATCATCTAGAACAATTGGCTCTCAACGTGGGGCTCTGGGCTATGTCCAGTCTGGGCAGCTGTCCAAGAAGACGCTGGGGGGGCTGAATCCTGGGGGAAGGAAAAGAGCCTGATCACCTCTGAATACACGGTAGAGATTGCTGCAGCACCTAGCCGGTATGTTCCTGCCCCTGTGATTGACCTGTCCCAGTGTCTGTGACTGCTGCCGAGAGGACATCAAAGTCAGGTAATAACTTGCCCAGAGTCTTTGTATTGTTAATGATACCTGGTTTACCTGCATGTTGACTATCTGTTGCCTGGGTGTGTTTGTATTGGTATGTGTTTAACTTAGTACCCGGGGAGTGTAAGTGCCTGTTTAACCCCTTTTAGGTACCACATGCCTGTGGTAGTAAGGAAAAAGGGGGGTGGACCTGTGGAAGTTTTCCTGGGGGTCCTCTATTGCCTGTTTAACTCTTTTAGGAGCCACGTGGCTGTGGCTGTAAGGAAAAAGAGTAGGGGGGATCTGTGGAGGGCAGTAGACTCACTGCTTCCTGGGGATCCCCAGAGTGTCATTTTGACCACTTAGCTAGCCTCATCAGACACTTCTTCTTGGTAAAATTCCAGTCTCAAGCGCTGAGACAGGTAAGATTCCAATTCTTTAGGCTATACAGGATTCGGGTTGGAAGCTGTTGCTGTTTCCTGTGGCTGCTGGTAGTGAGACTTGCGGGTGGGTCCGCAACAGGGACACTACGAGGTTGAGGGAGGTGGCTTTTGGCCACACGAGTAAAGGCAAGGGATAAAACTGTTGAACTTATTTGAACTGTGATGCATTCACTGTATTTACACTGAAATGTTATTGTCTTAATTGTCTGTCACACAGATTCCTGTGTTTACTTCTATCTTACTCACTGTACTATTTACACTTTCCCCTCCTATTTCTCTTTCTCTTTGTTGAGAGAAGTGATTGGTCACACACTTCTCGCCACGCTCCAATCCGCGGCTACCACGGGTAGGCGGAATCAGTGACTAGTCTACGTTTTGGGAAGACGTACTTAAAGAGCTTGCTCTTAAAGTAGCAGTCGAGCACGGTAGACGTTCTGTTCCTTTCTCTCTCTATATCTGGGACGCCTTGTATAGGGAGGATGGGACAGAAGTTAGATAAACCCAGTAAGGGTTGGTTAGCATGTGATCTAGTGGAAGACAGAGAAGGAGAAGAGATGGTTAAGAAAGTGAGGAAGATTGCTAAAGTATGTGGAATTACCGTACCTCTGTGCGGCAGATTGTAGCCAGAGAGCTGGCGTAAGTTACTGACAGAGAAGAAAGAGAAGCTGTCGGACCAAGATTTGGTTTGTACAGCAGAAGCCTGGTACCGAGTAGCAAGAGCTATTCAGCAAAAGGGATAGGTTGAGGAAGATATTGATCACAAAGGTTTAAGATTGTATGTATATCATAATAATTGTGTTACTGGGAAGTTATCCCAGCAGTGCCCTGTCCAGGAGGTGACCACTTCCATCATCCTGTCAGTAATGACCGAAATGTAGCTGACCATGGTCACCATCCCACCCCAATCTTAAAACGCTGTGGGGTTTTTGTATTTTGTGTTAGCCATTACCCTGGTAGAGGGTGGGGGTTTAAATGAAATGTTGTGTTTTTGTGTCTCTTTGCTTTGTAATGTAATTGTCCTTCTGTCTTGTTACTGTACAGCGTTGACATGGTTAAATTCGTGCTGGCAGGCAGTCTCTCTCTTGTTCCACTCAAATCCCCCTCTGCTAAAACCCCCCCCCCCTCCCCTCGCTTCTGTGAGACGCGGGGGGGGGGAGGGGGCGGAGGGGGGTGGTGACATGCTTGCGATTTAGGTCTGTCTCTTCGGTGTTCTGTAGAGTTATTCAGAAGCTACTGATAAGAGTATAAGGTTCTGAGGATTGTGGGAGTGACGAGCTCACAAGATTGCATTCAGTGTTGAATACGGGATTTAGGAAGGTGTAGAGGGAATATGCGATGTTGTTAAGTCAGTATAAGAGGAGGAAAGTGATTAATGGTTTGAGGAAGATAAGGGAATTTGGTTGAATTCCGCGAGTTTATTTTGCACCATTTCATTATTTTAAAGTTATTTTAAAGTACATGTTTCTAGAAACAGCTGTATGGGCTGTTAAATGCATAATGTTCTCAACTGTCTTATTTAACCTGCCAGGTCTGTTCATAGTTTAGTATTCCATTTTGCAGAACAGAATGTTGCTTCTCTGACTTATTTTAATAGTTTTAATATAGTGTATGGTTGAAAGTACGTCAACCACCACCCTAAAGATGGCGCCTGCCAGTCCCATGACCTATCCAGAGTCACGGTTGCTTCTAAAGTAACGTCACTTCCGCCCTTACCATGCCCACACCTCCTGTCTTCCTTTCCCACACATATCATGGACGTCACCCCTCTCACTTCCTCCCTTGCTGTCATTTCCTTCCCCGCCCCTGTCATGGCTGCCTCCATCATGAGGCCTACCCCTATTATGCTCGTCCCATTTAGATAATTACTAAAACAATCATGCCATTTGTTTCCCTGTATCAACAATTTGTCCGTGATATAAAAAAAAAAAAAAGAAGGTTGCTAAAATGTAATTTGCAAATGTGGTGTGACCTACATATGAAATCTGTTGGACACGAATATAAGAGCATAACAGCTGATTATCCAGATTAATCTTGCAACAAGGGAAATAGCTAAATAATGCAAGTTATTTTAAACATTGTATCTTTACTTAATCGAATCTTGCTAGTTACAGATCGTATGTTTACAGTAACATCCTTTACTTTAAATGATGGTTTAGCATTAGAAGGGTTTGTGACATGTTTTATTAACCCAGCCACTACTGGTTATTCATTTTAGTTACAGGGTGGTATAATTGTTATAGTCTAATTAATATAAATGATAGTACCGCAATAGTTAATGTTTTATCCAAAGACATTTAGGAACTTTACTTAACTTACTATTAACCATTATTTATAATGATAGACATGTTCAGACTGCAAAAAGCTATGGCTAATGACATAGAAAGGGGTTTGAGTCAGTAACACAGCCCATACTGAGGAGAGCAAACCCGCTGATGCTTAATGCCCCTGCCATGGCAGTGTCTTCAGGGGAACAAGGGGGGCCTCTAGCTACTGTAATTTTACCCATTGAGGGCCAGCCCACCACTTTCCTAGTTGACACAGGTGCAGCCCGAAGTGTTCTGAGAGAACAAGACCTGCCTGATACCTAATTTCTTTCCAATATTGATGTCTCCTGTGTTGGGGTGGACGGCCTTCCAAGGCAAAGTCCCCTGTCCACCCCACTGCGGGTTGGTAACTGCCACAACTTGCTTGCTCGCTTTGTGGTATCTTCCACATGCCCCATTAACCTGTTAGGAGCTGATGTTCTTTCACGCCTGCAGGCATCCATCACCTTTACTCCAGATGGACAAGTGGAACTATCCACCCCTCTATCTGTCTCAGACACCTCAGCTTTGTGCTCCTTACCCCTGATGCTACATCTAGAAGAGCCTCATGGGGATGCAAAAGACCTAAGGACTAATTTCCCTGATTCACTAAAGACTGATGTTCCCAAGAAGCTGTGGTCCACAGGCCCAGAGGACATAGGCCATCTAAAGGTCCCGCCTGTGGTGGTAAAGCTCATCCCAGGCGTAAAATTGCCACGAAAATCACAGTATCCTTTGAAACCAGCTCAAGCTGCAGCCATTACAATTCAAATTCAAGCACTCCTGGAGAAGGGTGCTCTTGTCAAATGTGAATCACCATGCAATACTCCATTATTTCCAGTAAAGAAAAAGACTCCAAAAGGCGAACCAGAAAAGTACAGATTGGTCCAAGACCTCAGAGCGGTAAATGAAGCCACAGTTTTGGACACTCCAATAGTGCCCAACCCACACACTCTCCTTTCCGGCGTTCCACCCTCTGCCAAGTACTTCACTGTCATTGATCTGGCCAATGCCTTCTTCAGTGTTCCCCTGGATCCAACTTGCCAATATCTGTTTGCTTTCACACATGAAAAACAACAGTACACATGGACTGTCATGCCCCAAGGGGCACAAAATTCACCAAGTCAATTTGCGAAGGCCATGTGCTCTATCCTTGATCCATGGCAATTTGACCATCCTGAGGTCGTCCTGCTTCAATATGTGGATGATTTGCTGCTTTGTGGAGATGATATACCCACAACAGAACAATGCTCACTTAATCTTCTTTGCTACCTAGCAGAACAAGGATGTAAAGCTTCACGTCTCAAGCTGCAATTCTGCCAACCTACTGTTATTTTCCTTGGCCATTGTCTGTCTCAGGGAACCAGACATCTTACCCGTGACCGAGTTAGAGCGGTACTGGACATTCCACCTCCAAGGACCTCGAAGTCACTACAACGCCTTCCTAGGCCTCATTTCCTATTGCCGAGCATGGATCCCAGAAGCCTCGCTCCTTATGCAACCTCTTTATGATGCCCTCAAGTCAGACCCATTTTGCTTGTCCACAGAAGCCCTTGACAACTTCTGTTCTCTCAAAAGTGCTATTGCTTCTGCTCCTGCTCTTGGCCTACCAGACTATACCAAACCCTTCAAACTGTTTGTTTCTGAAAGACAAGGCCATGCAACAGGAGTACTCACTCAGGCCCATGGTCCTGGAGGCCGCCAAAGGCCTATTGGATTTTTCTCCTGCCAACTGGATATTGTGGCCAGAGGACGTCCCTCTTGCCTTCGGGCCGTCTTTGCTGCCAGAGAGCTCATTGAAAGAACTGGAGATCTTGTCCTTGGCCACCCCCTGGTTGTCTTGGCCCCCCATGACATTTCTGCCATAGTCAACCAGGTCCAGCTTAAGCATGTTACTCCTGCCAGGCATCTTCGCCTTCAATGTCATCTTTTGTTGCCTGACAACATTACCCTCCAAAGATGTCAAGTTCTCAATCCGTCCACTCTTCTGCCACTCCCTGAGGGGGGTGTATACTACGGATTCATCATGGACGAAATTTATGTTTTTCTTCTCACTGGCACCATCAAGAAGGAAATGCATCCCAACCTATCCTTTCATGATGGACAAGCACTCCTTCATGACGGAGCAAGACATGCCTTCTGTACCATGTGGTACAAACCAAACATCACTCCTGAACCCTGCTATGAAGATGAACTCTATAAGCTGGTTGAAGTAAAACTCACTGCACAAGACTTCTACTGTGATTCTGAAGGCAACAGTATGGTCTTGATTCATCTACCTCCGGAACTCAAGCATTTGTACCGTCATTGGGACACTGCCATTCCACATGTCCCTGTGACCAAGTTGAAAACAATATCATGGAATGATCTTGGGCCTATGGCAAAAGCATGGGCCACTATGGACGAATCACAGCTACAGGAAAATGGTGTTGTCAAATATCCAACAACTGACCACCTAAAAGCATGGCCACGTCATTTCCTGGAGAATGAGTTCCAAGATTTAAGCATAGTGAATGACTACGACCCAGATACACCTCATGACTGTTTTGAACAGATGAAAATGGAAACGACACATCTACCAACTGTGCATGAAGACCCATTGGTAGATCCCGATCTCACCCTGTTTGTGGACGGCTCAAGATATGCTGATGAAGAAGGAAGATACCATACAGGATATGCCGTAACCACAACAGATGAAATTGTCAAATCATCATCTTTACCATCAACTATGTCTGCACAAGAAGCTGAATTGCAAGCCCTGACTTCAGCATGCAAGATCTCTGAAGGAAAGCGCGCCAATATCTACACGGATTCAAGATATGCACTGGGCGTGGCTCACGACTTCAGATTAATTTGGAAAACAAGAGGATTTCTTACCACCGCCGGTACACCAATCAAGCACGGTTCCGCAATCAAGGAGCTGATGGACGCCCTCCTACTCCCAGAAGAAGTGGCTATTTTGAAGATAAAAGCACATGGGAAGTTGGACTCAGATGAAGCAAAGGGCAACCATCTAGCTGATCAAGCTGCAAAACAAGCTGCAAGAGAACCACAGGAAGTGGAAAGAAGAGTGTCCGGAAATGAAGAGACTCCCATATTTACTCTGCAGACTCTTCCAACTGACCTGAAAATTCTGCGGGAACAACAGGCTACAGTTGCCCCTGAAGAAATACAGAAGTGGAAACAGAAAGGGGCAGTTCTAAGAGATGGAGTGTATTACAACAATCTCAGATTCTGCCTTCCTAAGAATCTATACCCAGCAGTTGTTCAGTGGGCACATGGCCCTGCACACCTATCAAAAGATTTGATGATTGCCCTTGTACAGAAGTACTATGAGGCTCCTGGAATTACCACGCTAGCCAGCAATTACTGCAAAACGTGTGTCATCTGCGCCAAGTGCAATCCGGGGAAAATGACTAAAGTCCCTCCAAAACACTTGGCCAAGCCCATGTACCCGTTTCAAAGAATTCAGATAGACCACATCCAGATGCCAAAGAGTGGCAACTTCGAATATGCACTAGTAATAGTAGACATGTTCTCAGGCTGGCCAGAAGCCTACCCAGTGGTTAACATCACCGCAAAAACAACAGCAAGACGGCTACTTACAGAAATTGTATGTAGGTTTGGATTACCAGAAGTCATTGAAAGTGACCAAGGCCCAGCTTTCACAGCATCAGTAACTAAAGAGATTTGGGCCGCCCTAGGAGTGACCCTTGCCTTCCACACACCTTATCACCCACAAAGCAGTGGTAAGGTGGAGCGTATGAATGGCACCCTGAAAACTAGAATGCTAAAAATGTCGCAAGAAACAAAAATGCCCTGGCCCGAAAGCTTGCCAATAGCCCTGTTTAGTGTCAGACATACACCTAGAGGGAAGCCCTCATTGTCCCCTTACGAGATTCTATTCGGGTCAGCACCCAGGCTAGGTTGCTATTTTCCCCAGCAATTACAACTTCATACTGATGTTTTGGTAAACTATGTAACTGAACTTGCCAATGCTTTGAACAAAATCCATGCCCAAGTTTTCTCTTCAATTCCAGATCCTGATTCTGACACAGGCAACCACAGTCTGCTCCCCGGTGACTGGGTTCTGGTCAAGAAATTTGTGCGAAAACACACCCTGGAACCAAGATTTGACGGACCGTTCCAAGTTCTCCTGATCTCCCCTACCTCTGTCAAATTGGCCGGAAGGCCTAACTGGATCCACGCTTCCCATTGCAAGAAGACACCTGCCCCAGAGGAAGCTAACTCTATGCAACCATGTGCCTCTGGTACATTATCTCCTTAGTTGGCCTCCTTAAAGCCCAGCAGGTGGCCATCACCAAAGATGCTAGTGGGTACACTTTCTGGTATAATTCATCATGTACCCATGTGGCTACATTCACTTTTGATTACTGTGATATTGTAGAGTGCCCATTCCCTAAGTCACAGATTCAAGCCATTTATAAAGATATACCACAAGCAAAAGACCCTTACGTTTGTGTAGTAGATGAACAATGGGGTTATGACTGTAACTACTGGGGGCTGCGGGATGGAATACTGGGCCTGCCTGGGGTTATAAACCCAAAAGTGCTTTATCTAAGATAGACAATCAGGGTAGATCCCTCCTTCAAAGAATGACTTTAAGAAAGCCTGGAGGAAGTACCCCTATGAAATTAATGTTAAATATTGAACATCCTGGCCCCGAGGATGCAGACCGATATGTAATGGGAATGTATTGGAAGAAAGGTTCCTAAAACAAATTAGGTCATTTCTACCTCAGAGATATGTACCACTCTCCAGAGTGGCAAGGGGCTGATCATATGGTCCCAAATCCGCTAAAACCACATATCCAGTCCTTTAAAGATATGATGGTCATCGCTAACCCCACTTTTGAAGATACCATGGCCGCTGAAACTGGATTCAATGACATTAATTTGTGGTTAGAATGGATGAGGTATAATGCTAACAAACATAATAAAACAGCATGTTATGTATGTGGCGGTGCCCGACCCCACCTTGGCACCGTCCCGCTAACTCTCCCTTTAGAGATAGAAGATTGCTTCTTAAGCCTTTTTTGCCTACCAATATGACTTTAATAGGTCCCTCTGCATGGCATGGACGGCAGAATACCCTCTCTTAGTTGAAAATGTTAAGCCACCAGATGGAGTCACAGTCTATAGAGGTAATTACACTTGTTATGCCATGTATGACGGGATTGGTAAATTCATGGGTAACTTTTCTAAAGGTTATTGCCCCACTTACAGAACTGTTCCTATACGCCTGTTGCAACACCATACCAGGTCATTGGGGGATATTTACTGGTTATGTGGGGATCTACAGTTAAGATCTAGGCTGGAAACTGAGTGGTGGGGTGAGTGTACCCTGGCCAAAGTTATCATGCCCATTCATATTATTTCTGATAATCATCATGACACATACGACCCTCCACATACATCAGCCAGAGTAAGGCGCGAAACCCCAGTAAAAGGCAGTTTTGACCCCCACATTTACATAGATGCCATTGGGGTGCCTAGGGGGGTACCTAATGAATTTAAAGCTAGAGATGAAGTAGCTGTAGGTTTTGAATCACTTTTTACCATAGTCACTGCCAACAAAAACCTTAATTGGATTAATTATATCTATTACAACCAACAGCGCTTCGTGAACTACACCAGGGATGCCCTCCAGGGCTTGGCCGAGCAATTACAGGCCACATCCCAAATGACCTTCCAGAACAGACTGGCCTTAGACATGATCTTAGCCGAAAAAGGGGAGTCTGTAAAATACTTCCCGACACTATGACTTGTTGCACTTACATTCCAGAAAACACAGGTCCTAATGGTAAAGTCACTCTAGCCATAGCTAAATTAAATAGACTCTCAGAAGAGTTAAAGAGAAACTCTGGAGTTACTGATCCCT